CTCGTCAATGCTGCATTCAATACGTAACAAAGCTGGCGGAATTTGAGCTTTAAAAATACCACTGGCTGCGAAAATCGACACCCCCCCATTTACTGGGTATCGACAGCTACGCGCCATTCCCACAAAATGTATATGATCCTACTATATATAAAAAAATAGTGTCTGCGTGTGTATGCCACTTTGCATGCAACTTCCGTCAGCGTGTCCGGAGGATATCTCAAGAGGGAAGGGGCGTAATGAGGTGTTTGATACGTCATTAGATGCGTAATGGGCTGTAGATGACTGCACACACATCAGATTTTGTAAAGTATGTTGTTTTCGACATTAAAATTAAGTTTTTCGTAAAAATTCGGCCGCCCACTTTGTTAGGAGAAAATTAGCATACGCCGGAAGTTGCAGTAGCCTATATAAAGGCCCAAAGGGGCTCATTCTTCATTTTTTTTGTCATCGGAATTGAGGCACAATTATGAAAAATAAAGAACATCATAGGATTAGACGGGGGCCAGGGTTGAAAAGTCGCGAAGCGGCTTTTCAACCCTGGTTTATGCTATAAACCTCCGTACGCCAGCCTGAAAGCGTCTTTTGGCCTAGTACGTAGCCGTCGAAACCCAGAATGCTGATGGGGTTGATTCTGGCGCCTCTGGAAGTCTTTAAAGGACCGTTGCAGACCGCCAAAAAAGTCGGGCGTCCCGAATCCACCGTAAAAATCCTTCATGAGTCAGAAATTTCAGTTGTGTCACGCCATTTACCATATCCTCAAAAAATCAGCGGTTCAGGGTGAATCACTATGTGTTTTTTGCAATTTTCATGGGACACCTGATCTGGGTATCCCCGCGTACACACAACCCGTTCTCTGTGGAATCCCGTACCCCAGCCATATGTGTGTTTTGTTGATGGTTGCATGATAAGGGCATTGTTGCGAAATGTACCAGCTTGGGATATGAGAGAAAGAGAGAGAGAGAGAGAGAGAGAGAGAGAGAGAGAGAGAGCAAGAGAGAAATGAGCAACAAACCAGACAGATACATAGACACAACAAACCTGTAATAATTGAGTAAGCCAAAATAAGCATTTGATCGGGGTGTTTTTGTCTTTCAAAGATCAGGATCAGGTTGCTGATGAAAATGATGAAATGTGCGCTCGGGATAAATATTAGAGGATTAAGTTGGAGAAAAAGAGAGAGCGAGAGAGAGAGAGCGAGAGAGAGAGAGAGAGAGAGAGAGAGAGAGAGAGAGAGGTACCGCGAGCGAGCAAGCAAAACGCAGCGCAATTGACAGGTGATTCTAATGCCAGTCAGTCTTTAAAGGAGCTGAGAAGCTCCAGAATCGACCCCTTGCGTTGGCTAGGTCTCGACAACTACGCGCCACGCCTTCAAACTGTTTGGAACGGAACTTGGGTAACCGGTAAAATTTATTTTTTAATATCCGGGTACAGAAACCTGTTTTCCTAAAAATCGCTAGATTTTTCTAGACTCTTCCGCCTATCTCAACCTTCATCGATCATCCCCAGATGGTGTTGATCGTTCTACGAGGGTCGGGGATACCCCCCATGTACCCTTTCTCTCTATCTCTCGCTCTCTCTCACTCTCTCATGTTATCTCTCCCTCTCTGTCCCTCTCTCTCTCCCTCTCTCTCCCCTGGGGAACCCCCGTGTACCCGGGGTACAAAGGGCATCAGATCACGTGTGATGAGTGTTGGTGTGTCTCTTATTGAGATCGTCTCCACCTGATAGCTCTTCCCTCCGTTGATGGCATCGCTGTGTAGTCAAGAGCGCTTTATAGAAAAGTGACATACATGCGTGCGCGTCATTTCCTGCAACGAGCGTTTGAGCGCGACACGTGATCTAGGTGTCAAAAAATGTGCCCACAATGTGGGGGAACCCCGGGATACAGAAGGGGTACTTGGGGTCAGTGGGATGCAACATCAAGAGATCAAACAGTTAGCCTCACGTAATGACGCCAAGCTGGCCCTAGGTCAGCTGATGTCGGTTTTGGATCGATTTTTCTAGAATTTCGTATCGTTTTTGGCCCTTGACGACGGCGAAGCTTAAAATTTTGGCAGGTAGCTACACGAGACAAATCTAAAAAGTGAGAGACATAAGGAGCGAGAGAGAGAAAGAGAGAGAGTGAGAGAGAGCGTGAGAGAGCGAGAGAGAGAAAGAGAGTGCGAGAGAGGCACGGAGACAGAGACATACAGAGACAGAGAGAGTGAGAGAAAGAGCGAGCGACAGAGAGTGAGCGGCGAGAAAAACCAACGAGAGGCCGTGAGAGAGAGAGAAAGAGAGAGCGCCAGAGAGAGCGCCAGAGCAACCGAGAGATCGCAGGCCGGAGAAAGCGACAGCTAGAAACAGATTTTTTAGATTTCTCTAATTCAGAATCCCTAGAAGGCAATCTAGCAGAGTTTCTTTAAGATCCCTCCTCCGTCCTTGATCAACCCATGGCAAGTGCGTATTTTCTTCGCCTTGCCATGTCGTTCTTTCTTTCTAAAGGACAAGGGCTTCCCCCATCTCAACCTGAATTCAGTCATAAATTCTCTAGAAGGTGAGGGAGAGAGAGAGAGGGATAGAGAGTGCAGAGAAAGAGAAAGGGTACGCGCCGTTGGGTGTGTGGGGGATTCCCCATTCCGCGAGGCTCCGCCCCCTCCGTCGTGCATATAAGGGCTCATTTCTGGGGGTAGAATCCAGCCCCGTGCGTACCCCGGCCCGCCCACCGTGTGCCGTATGGAAACGTTCTACAGACTATGCTAATTGCCCTCCAACGCGACAACATTTGTGCCCCAAAGTTCCGTGCTAGTGCCTACGTACCGCATCAAGTGAGTGCAAGTGGAGCGACGCTGAAAAATGCGTAGCTTAACGTTGACACTCCTGAACAATATGTCTTCTGGAGAAAGAAAAAAATTGTGGAAATACAGGGATTTCCACAAAATATACATACTCTGGAAAAGGCTGGAAGACATGTTGAAGAAGGAGCAATCTATATAAAACCACCATTGGGAGCTATCAAAACTGCTTTAAGAAATTTTTTACGAGGATTCTTGCAGCGAAAATCTACAAAAAATCGATAATCTAGAACGTTTGATGCAAAATTTGATCTCGGCCATGACAATTTTTCTTTAACGCTAATTCTAGACAAAAATAATCGAGTAAAAATCCGAATTTCTCATTTGCTAAATTTTTCAGCTACTTTTGATGAATTTTCGGACTTACTTACGAAGTTAGAGTTTATACGATTACGCTATGAAATTTTTGACTATGGAAATATGCTGGTTTCGAAACGATCTCATTCGAAAAACCGATAATTCACGTTTTCTTGACTTTTTCTACCATTTCTAGGGATTTTCGGGCTCAGAGTGTATACGATTACCGTAGGAAAACTCTAATTCTAAAACTATTAAAAGTTTGGAACAATAAAAAGATTAAAAATTATGCATAACTTACTTACAAAAACATCAAAAAAAATTTGCAGGTGCCCCCACAAAGTCAACCGCAACTCCCGTTCATCAACGACTGGTGCTCGGGTTCGGTGATCTGCTTCGGCGTCTGTGAACTCTCGATTCGCGTCGATAACGCATTGTTTGCCTGCTGAACGGCTACGCTCAGCTACTCCTTTACTTCACTACACAGCCAACTAAACAACAACAACAAACATGTGGGTTTTTCGACAGAATTTTGCGCGTTGAAAAGTACAGTTTTCTTCAAAAATCAGTATATCTAAGCAAAAATGCGTAATTTATTGAAAACAAAAGTTCTTTTAGTTAATGGCATTTTAAATTAGCTCAATCATCCCTTTTTGTAGAAGAAAAAGCAATTGCTGGCCGTTCTTGCTTTTTAAAAGGCGTTTTGAGCTTATTTTTATCAGATTTTAGGTAGATTTTTTTATCAGATTATCAAAAAGTGTAATTCCGTAAAAGCAAAAGTTCTTATAGTTAATTGGCCATGAATTTAACCTCTTTATAGTTTTTCGCTGAAGAAAAAACAATTTTTAGTCTTTCCGACATCTTAAATGCAATTTTAAGGTATTATCCCAGTCGTCCTTTTTAAAATTTTCCGGCTTTTACTACCTATAAAAGCTACACCACGTTTCAAATCTTTTCCTATATTCCATTTATTACCTGAAGACCTTGAGAAATTTTCGACCCCTTTTCCGGTCCAGCTGGGCGAGCATCGCGCGTTTTCTAAAAAAAACCCCCCAGCCAGACGCCCAGAACTCCGAAAATCAGTGCCCCCTAAAAATCGGGTTGACAGGCCGATTTCTTCCCGAAAATTCGCCCCAATCCATCCATCCCGGATTTTTTAACACCCCCCGAAAAGAGGAAAGAAAAGATGCGCGCCCGGGCGATGAGAGTTCCACCCACACGCATACTCACAAGAAATTTGCGCCCCCAATCAATCATCCTGGTCAGAATGGGTGCATCTAGAGGCGATAGAGTGAAGAGAGAGAGAGAGAGAGAGAGAAAGAGAGAGAGATAGCGACCGAAAAAGTTGATTAATTGCTGCCCCACCGCTGCGCTTACCCGCCCTGGTGTGGTGGCGCTGCGCGCGCGATTCAGCCCATCGGGGTGAGACCGTGAAAGTGGGGGGATTGATTGGGGGAACGGGGAATTTTGGAAAGTGCAGGAAAAGCTGGGGACCAAGGCTGAAAAAATTTGAAAACGACTTTTCAAGCAACTTTTCCGGTCGCTTTTGACCCAAAATCTACTAGCTGTTAAAAAAAACATTTAAAAAAGGGGAGAGAAGCTAAACTAAGGTTAATAACGTAATTAATTACGGTAAAAGACGATAAATAGACTACGAAAATTTCTTATTGACGGCACACGTCGAAAACCGTATTTTTTTTGCAGGCACACGCCTTATTTTTCACCGAAAACAACCAGACAAAAATCAAAGCCAGCAAAGATGCCAGTTGCTAATTCTATTGAAAATAAAAATAATCAGATAAATAAACTACAAAAAACTCGAATTTACGATTGATTTCTTACCCCGAATTTTCTAGGTCGGCCCACCCAATGATGAGCCACATGCTCCACTGCCGTGCCCGTCGTCAGACCATCGAGAAATCACGTCTTTCCACTGACGGTTAGTTATAAAATTATATCTAAAATATACAGTTATTAAAGAATAAAATATACCTTAAAAACCACCAATTTTCAGATGAGCCGGCCGGTCTATTCGTGACCCTCCAGCGCCGCTTCGATTCGAGCGACTCGTCGACGCCGTCGTCGCCCACCTCGGCCATGATCGCCTCGCCGCTGAGTCCGGCCGTCCGTTTTTTCAGTGGGTCTTCCTCATCTCCCTTCGCATGCGCGACATCTGGCTACGGGCCCGCCCTCGGACATCACCTAGGAGGTCGGAGAATACATTGTTGGCCCGTCGGTCGGCTCTATTTTCCCCAGCTTCCCGGGTTTTGCAATTGAACCGTGTTTTGTTCTAAATTAAGGTTGGGCTTTAACAGACAGAATTTTTGCGCAACAAAAACTCGTTAAAAAAAGTAAAAAAAACCATCTAAAAACTTCGACAAATTTGAAATTAACATTTTTATCGAAAATCGGCCAATTTTGGCTAAAAATTCGTTATTTCTGTATTTTCCCTAAAAATTTGTAAGGTTTTTAAGCATAGAAATAGTAAAAAGTTTAGAAACATCTGTAGAAATAAAACAAATGTTATAGACGATGTAGAAACAAATTTCTCTATATAATCTACAACGAAGGAAATTCCTCTATTTATATCGGAAAAAGCGGATCATTCGCAAAACGTTACCTTTCTCCCCTCTGATAATGCAAAAGCACCAAATATCATAAATAAAGTTATAAATTAAATGATAAGTAAACCCACCTTAAAAAATCATCTAAACCTCTATTTTTCAGAAACGACCGCCACTTCATTCTTCGAGAGTGCTAGCAACGTGCTCAGCAAGCAGTAGCAGACTACTTTCCCAGAATACCACGATAACATTCAAACCATTTTGTACTAGATTTTTTTGTGTTTTTTTTGCAGTAGAAAATGTGTTTTGTAACTTTTTCTCGTCTAAAAATTCGATATATTTGTTTTCCATTTTCTATCTAAACTCTTGACTCTTTGTAACGATTTTTGCCAAATAAATGTTAGCTAGCTAAGCGGGAATCACAAAAAACACAGCAGAATAGACTAGACATTAATACAACAGTAGATTTCTACCCGGTAAGGTATCGGAGATTACTTGTTCAGGAAAAGGGCGGGAGCAGTACAGAGAAAGAATAAGGGAATGGGGAGAGGAAGCTCAGATAGTCATGGGATGGTGACATTGGAAATCGAGAGCTTGAAAGCTAAAAACTACTTGTATAATTAGTTAGGGAAAACGCGAGCGAAACAACTACACAGCTGCGATCAGGATCTAACACACAAAAATAGAGATATTCTAAAAAAGAGAGGGGTTTTTAGAGCGATAATGTTGTTTTCAGACCGTACCAAACCTATACTGCGCAAATTTACAAAAACGTTTAGTGCGTACAAACTCGAAAAATGCTAATTTTGGGGAGATTTTAGCCCTTTTGAGTAGCTTCTTTTGGAGCGATTTTGCCAAAAGTTTGAGATTCTTCAACTTCGCGATCTCGAAAATTCTGGAAGCAGATTCGAAATTAGAGCCGATTTCTGCGCAATTTCTTGTTAGGCTTGGTCCCGTATGAAGCCTCCATTATCACCCAAAAACGGCGATGGTAAGTAGATAAAAACAACCATAAAACGATTAGCTCTCGGCGAACACGGCGCGCCCCATGTCGAGCAGCAGCGGCTCGACGAGTCCATTCTCGTTGGGGTCGCGATGGGTCATGAAAGCCGTGTGCCCGCCGTGCTTCGTCACCACGGCCACCACGTTCTCCGATTTGGATATTTCGTCGAGTGGGAGGGCTGGAAATCGGGTGTTGAGAACGATCTAACGGAATTTTCGTTTTCTGTTTGTTTGTCGGGGGATTTGCACTTTTTCTACAAAAAAAATTGTTTCGAATATTTCTAAATCTTTCCAGACTTTTTTACTATTCTTGAACCTCCGAAACAAACAATTTTGATTGAAGAAGACAAAAAATATCGCTATTTCGACCAGAAATTTGCAATTTTAGACTTTTCCTCGCTTTCTACATAGTTTTCCAGTTACAATTCAGCTAAATTTCACAAAAAAAACGCGATTAAAATCCCTCATATTACGTAAAGAGGCATATCTGTATGTATTGGGGGAAATTTGGATACCATGCTCCGAAATTACTAAAGAACGATATCTAGAACATTCGCTAATCGCAAAAAACGGCAGAAAAACAGTTTAAAATTTTTGAAACTGTCAAAAAGTCTATTTTCAACGCTCAAAAACCAACAATCAATCGGCGCAAAGCAGTCGTCAGCCGAATTCAGCGCCAGCACCGGGATCGGAATTTGTGCAACCTAAACATAAGCTATTATTATTTATTTATCCACAGCTTGTATACCTTGGTCCTCAGCGTGGCCTCCGTGTAGTAGTGCTCCCAGTCGCGGTAGCCAAACATCGGCACGACGAAATGCTGATCAAAGCCGCGGATAGTGTTCGACTTCATCAGCACGTCCCACTCGATCAGCTCGTGGAACAGTTCTTTGTGGCTAAAAAATCTAAGTAAAAACCGGAAATCAAAACTCACGGGAGGACGACGTTCTTGAGGCATTGGGCGAGGTGGCTGTTGAAGAAGAGCCGCGGGAAGAAGGTTTCGAGGGAAGCCGTTGAACGGAAATTGTCGAATGGGGAGGAAACCTAAAAAATTGTCATTTTTAAAGGGAACTAATAAACCCACCACCATCCCAGCCAAAAGACCGCAATTCTCCTTGGTGTGCTTGGCTAGGTAGTTCCAGAGGATCATCCTAAAAACCCACAATTTGTAGTTCGAAAATGGTATTATTTTATATTTTTCGTTTTTATTAAACGCAACCAGCTGCGGCATTGCATGAGCTTTTACGGAAACTCTCAAAAAACTTAAACCCACCCTCCAAGGCTGAACCCGCAGGCGATCTTCTTCGCGTCTGGATAGCGCTCCGACGTGACTTTTACTACCTAAAAAAAGAGATAATTATCACCAATTTTCCCACATCACGAAAATCATCGGTGTAGGCCGCATTGTAGGTCTTGGCCGTCTTCAGCGGCACTCCGCCAAGCCCACGAGCATTTACTACGACGCAACGCCATCCTTGTTTGACCACCTAAAATCGATGCTGATTTTTCCAGGTAAAAATTACATCTTTTGCGCAGTGGATGATGTAGGCGCAATCGTGAGTGGAGCCTGAATTTTGTAAACCTATAAAACGTTGTTTTCATACCAGTAATTCCCGGCAAGAAGAAGACGATTGGGGCGGCCTTATCGGCGTTTTCCGGCTCAAGCCAGTCGAGAGCTTGAACCCCGCCGTCAGAGTGCTCGTAGATTTCTCTAAAAAATCATTGTAAATCTCTCATTTTACTTTTTTCACGAATAAAAACGAAAAACACACCTTTTCCACGACAGCGGTGGCCGGGCCCGCATCAATTGCCTGATCAGCGTCTGCGCAAAGCCAAAGGGGCACCACCAAGTCGGATGGAATTCCTATTTCCAAGTTTCGTTCTAGTTTGCAAGAACCAACCTTTTGTAGCGCGGGTAGATTGACGACCGTATTCGTCCAGTCGGAGGCGTGACGCCCGTAGACGATCGGTTTCTAGGACCTTTTTTCGCGTTAAAACTATCCAAATTACCTCTCCTTCAGAGTACCGCTGGTACCAATACCACAAAAACGCCACGACGGGCAGGAGAAACGCCAAGATGAACATCTAAAAATTATAGGGCTAAAATTAGCCGAAAATGACGGGATCGTAAGCGGAGAAAATGGTTGGAAGGAGGAAGAATTGCCTAGATGAACATCTAAAAAACCAAAATGACCTCGTCCTGTGCTATCGAATAATTTTCCAGCAGAGCTATCCAGTCAAATTTCTTAAACTTGCCACGCGACCTTCTAGGAGTTCCCACAGGTTCCAGCTCACTAGATTTAACAGCGTAGGAGATACCCCTAGGTCTATCTTTTCACGACGCATCATAAAACTATGGAATTCACTTCCGCCACCTCTCCTCTTGAACCCTCCGACCAGCGCGAAACGCTTTAGGAAAAGTCTTGAAACCCTTCCCCTAGCCCATAATCCCTCCTAAGCAAAAAACCTATTATCCCCGTCCCTCGTCTTTCACCCATGTTTTTTTTTCACTTTACGTGTTTATCATTTTTTGCCTACGTTATATTACCCGGTTGAATAAACCATTCATATATAGCAACGAGCTGATTCGTGTTGGGGAAAGCTAAAGCCGGCAGCTTACAGAAACTACCTAATAAACGAAATATAGGATTTACGGTCACAAAAACTACCTAATACATGAAAATAACACTTTACGCTGAGAAAAATATACGATTTCTGTTCTTTATTGAACAAATATTTTCATATCGAGCGCAACGTTTCATTTTCAAACACTGTCCTGATTTTTAAATACTTTATTTACACGTAAAATACACGTAAAATCACACAAAAACGTATCCAGGGAAAAAACAAGCAGCAGTAATTGTGGCATGAGATCCGAAAGTTTGTGATAGAGTGAGTGAGTGCACCGCGATCACAGGCAAATAGAGACAAATTGGGGGAGATTCGGGGCAAAGCGGGTTCAAAGTCCGGGCAAAACACAAAGGCACACTTTTTGTGTACCATGTATCTAGAGATGGGCAGACTACAGGCAAACTAGAAAGTACAATTTTGGGCTATCATAGCAAAAGGAGAGTGGAAAAGAAGTTTTTAACTGAACGGGTCATCGTAGCTGACCATTTGACGGCCACCCGCCTCGTCGGCGTCGTCGGTCTCCATCTTGGCGTCCTCATCAATTTCGCCGTCTTCTGGGGATTCGTTGCCGGCTTTCTAAAACAGAGATAAAAAGTGGGTGCTGTAGGTGCTCAAAATTTTCGCCAATTTCATTTTAACTAGAAAAATAATTTTTTTACCCAAAACGACCAAAATTTTCTTTTCAGACAATTTCCGGACTATTTTTGAAAGGAGTGAGAACTGGAATAGAATTAAAATTACTCAAGACCATGAAAGCGCCCGATATTAGATTAATAGGCGGAAATTGTCCGATCCAAAAACCTAAAAAGCAAAAAGTGAAACCCAAAAGTTAGCTAAAATCTTTAGTTGCAGTCAAAGCTCTTAAAACCATACCGGGGTCGGCAACGGCTTGAATCGAATCTTCGGAACAGCCGGAACTGATGCGCCGGCGGCAGGCGCTGCAGACGCCTTCGGCTCGGCGCGCTTGGCGGGTGGCCTAAGGTAAAAATAAATTATTTTAAGCAAAACTAAGCTACCGATCAACATCACTATTTCTTGTCCGCTTCTCCGCGCTCTTCGGCGTCGTCTCCGGGGGTCGATACGGGAAATGGGGTGGATTCTTGAACGAGGTGGTGCCCTGTCTTCTGGCGAACGACACACGCAACGTCACACCGCTGACCATGTTGCCGTCCATCTATAAGCCTTTATATTCTCACGTTTCCACCCTACCGCTTTGACAGCTTCTTCCAGCTTCTCGTCCGATTTAAACGTCATGTAAGCGACCCTAAATCCATTTTGTAAGGTTTTGTGTGCGGCTTTTTCGCATCTATGCTTCCTTTACTCACTTTTGTCGATCCTCTACACTCGTGCTCTCAATCTCGCCGTATTTTCGAAAGGCCGCCTCGAGCACGTCGGTCTAGAAAAACGGAAAAATAGGCTTAAAAATATTCACAAAATTACCTGTAGATCGTAGCCACGGATGAAAAGGATGCGCCCTTTCGTCAGCGGAGTGAATTCGGAGCGTCGCTCATCCGACCAAGGCGTAAGTGGTGGTGAAGCCATTGGAGGGGACATCATTCCGGACGAGGAAGTCTATAATTTTTTTCGTTGCGTGCTATTCGCATTCCAATCCTCAGCTCCCGACTTACCAATTCGCCCAGCTCCCCGGAAGTGCTCCCGCTGCTCCGTTGGCGTACATTGGCGCGCTTGAACGATGTCTTCGTCTCATCCGCTTTCTTAAGCTTAATCTCCCCGGCCGCGATCTTCTTCTTCAGCTCATCAGTTTTCAGGGCCAATTCGTGTCCTAGAAATTGGATAAAAAATTTGCAACTGATTTCGAGCCTATTTGTTTTTCTAAAGTACGTCCAAACCCACTTCGTTTAGCCAACGTCTGGCTCTTCTCATTTTGCGACTCACGATCCTCACGGCTTCCGATTGGCGCTGCGCCGCGGTTATTGAGGAGTCGGCGCTAGAAAGAACTATTCCTTCTTTTTTTATCGTTAGACTCAATTCCGTGCATTTATAGACCAATTTTCATCAACCCACCAATTGCTTCAAACGATCCTGTGCGGCTTTCAACTGCGTCTCCTCATCCGTCAAGCCCGCTGGAAACACGATTTGAAGCTCTTTCATCTAAACTGAATTTTCTACGTTACTTCGAAATTTCGAGCCGATGTTCCAATTGAAAATATCTCGTTTCGGTTTCGCATGCCACCCATAGTCCTTCAGTTTCTCCAAAACCCAACGAACAAGCCATTTATCGTGTAAAAACTCTGCTGTAATAGAAATGAAATTACGATCGAAGGCGGTAGGTGCACACTCGATCATGACAAGGAACACGCGCACGAAAACGGATAAATAGCGGGCAAAGTGGGGCCCAGAGAGAGAGACAGAAAGACACCAAGCGATTGGCTAAGGACAACGAGGTGACACCACAAGGGAAATGACATAGAGGGAGCTTATCTAGTCGCGAGAGACACGCTTTGGTGATGGAACCGGTAATATACACAGACTTTTTTTGACGACATTGAGGTTTTGCCAGTGAAGCTAGTGAAGCAGGGAACTAGGAAGAAATGTTTAAAAACCTGAAAAGTCTGCTTTTTTGCGAGTTTCCTCTTTTCACTTCAACTCCCTTGTTTAGCCAGCGTCAAAGACCTAGAAGGTTCTTAGGCATTATCGAGGAGGGGGGCAACTTTTTGTAAAAGTCTAGAAATGTCTAATACGTGTTTTAGGAGTGATTTTAGCGAAATAGAATGCGAAAAAGAGATTTCAACAAGAAACACTGGCTAAAAACTCGAAACATTTAAAAAACGACAAAACGACCATCGAAAAATCGTTGAATTTTTTGTTAAATCTAAATTTTCAAAGTTTACACGTTTCGGAACAGTAAAAAACAGTTTAGAAACGCTTCCACTATGTATTTGGAAAAATCAGATAAAGTTGCTACCCCCGATAATGCCAAAGAACCACCTAGAATTATCCCATTTGTGCACGTTTACAAAGATCACTAGTTGATCACATAGATTGGAGATTGGCGGCGAATACTTGGCGGCGTGACCAAAACTAATAAATATAACGCAACGTTCTCGTGGGCCAATTACAAAATCCTAACATAGTAGCAGCCCGGTGTGAGAAAAGGGGGGAGAGTGGAGAGAGAATTTTCAATCTAAAATGTAGCACATGTAAGGAGGGCAAAGACGGGATGAGCGAATTCGGGGGTTTTGTGGCAAATCAATTCGATAATAAATGACTAAATATCACAACTAGAATGGAACCGTCACAATTCGGAGCCGGTGTGGTGGGGGCAGGAGGTGGGGCTAGAGCTGGGGGAAAACCTAGCGTAATAAGCACAGGGAAGGTGGGGTATTTTAGGATGTTTTTAGGACATCTTGGCGCCGAGGTGGTTGCGCACATTCTCGTAGACGACGTAGCTCATCCCAACGGCCGGGATCACCTGAAAATGTAAGATGTCGTAAGCGGATCAGAAAATATAAAAATTGGCAAAAACGTTCTTTCGAATTATTCCAGGCAGTTTTTACG